TACGGTTTAGGGACTAGGGTTTAGATCTGAACCTCCGCTTCCAGTGACAGTAGATTGTCCAACCCTATTGGGGCATGAATTTCTGAGGGGGATTCTTGTTTCACTGTCGGGAGAAGGGCGCGGCATGATGTTTCATGTTCTGCCTGCGTTCACTTCCCCTCTAACATCAAAACGCGACCCCCGCCCCCTTTCCCCCGTGATTTAATCCGCTGCCTGGATTAATTTTTCCCTTAACAAGGGCCACATTTTTTCAAATTACATAGAGCCCCTTTACGATCCAAATCAATTGAGATCCCGGACTCCTAACTTTTAATCAACTGGATTGATTCAAGTTCATTTTTATTTAGTTACAACTGATTTCATCCAATTATTTATAGCCGAGTAAATAAGTGTGACCGCTTAAGTACTACAATTCGTCTAGGTATACTCGATACTTTTGATTAGTTAGCTGTAGTGAACAAGCAGTTCCTGTGAATCACTCCAATTCGTTTTCACATGACTTCCTTTGTGTAAATTTCACATCAGCGAAAAGCAGCTCGAGGAAATCCCGGGGACCCGTAAATCCTGATTTCTTATGATTCCTCCTCACGACCCGCTGAGGACTTCACAGCCTTCCTTAATTGGGTTGGGTGTCTTGCGATTTAACAAGTGCTTTTCACAGGACTTCAGGCCCCTGGGAAACCTATTTCACTTTAGAGTGGGTTGCAAAGTATGAGAAATGTGATTATCCGTCAGAAAAAGGTTCTTCGCTGCCCAGACCTGATGATCAATAAGCTTAGAACTTCTGGAGCTCTATGCTGAAAATTGCTTTCACTGTGCACAGTCGAATGGCTAATCTTGCTGGACCTGCTCTCATACCAGTAACAAAGCTCAAGAGGAGCAATGGAAGCCCTCACAGTTGGGGACTCCATATAGACCCCCCCCCCCCCCGAACTGCCATAATTCTTATTATGGGCACTACAGAAAGGTACCTGTAATGTGGGAAACGCCTTTGACATCAGCTGAGGTGATTCTTTCAGGTGACCTGTTGGGGATGCCAGTTGCAGTCAAGCTGCCTCTGGCCAATGCCTCCTTGTCGCTGCCGGATTTGGCCAATGAGTTGCGCAGCAGAAGTGGGAATTTGAAAGCAGAGAGGCCTCTCAAAAAATAGTTTAGATAAGGAATCCACAAATCCGTTCGGATCTGAAGAGCACCCTTCTATACAAGGCTGCATGCTGCATGCGGCTCTCCAAGCTTGAGATGGTACGGATTGAAAGATGTTCTTCTTATTCATTCATTTTTTGTCTGGCTCCTCTTTGAAAGGCTTCGATTTCTCCGACGAGTGCGACATCCTCATATTGTGTCATTTCAAGGCATGGGGCATGTGGTGTCAACAGGGAGAAGTAGTTGCTGGGAAGCACCAGCGGTTTGATTGACAGTACCTTGCATAATCACTAGTCAGCATCTGGAGTACAGGTCACGTACTTCCAAACTTAACATAATTGTAGCTGCTGTCTAGACTCCCGGCAGCATTTCAATCTCTCATTCTTCCTAAAGGCATTCCTCAGCCCGATCTATCTATATACATATGTGTATATTCCTCCACATATATATATATATGTGTTAATGGGCTATATAGCCGCTATTTGGGGGTATGTATGGGAACGGACAAGAAAATGGAGACGACCGTGCAATTCAAGGGTCAATTGTAATTTGAAAGAGAGCTGAGAACAGATTGCACACGAGTGGAGGCAATCGGAGTTCAGTCGGGGGAAGAAGGCTTGTCTAGCAAATCTGAACCACCTCGTAGGTGATGCAACGAATCGAAGTTGAGTTTGTCTTTGGGACAGCAAACTGTATGCTAGTTCCCAATTGCTTTTCCATGCTCCTAAATAGACCTATGTAAGCGCTTTATCTACATATATGGTAGCTACCATATGGTAGTGTTCCTAAATAGGGGGACTCCAATACGGATCCCAAGATATTTTAGTTCTTATTGTGGACCCTTTGGGGGTGGTGGCGCATTTTCATTCTTATTTGCCAGGTGCTTGCATCCTACCGCAGGCAGCACCTCGACTGTGAAGAGTTCCTTCATTCAAAGACAGGCCTTTCAGGTACCTTTAAGGGGGTCATAGGTAGATACAGGTTTAGGGTTTCCCTAGAGCTTGGGGAAAGGGATGACTGAGAGCCAAACCAAACGAACAACAGAAACTGGAATGGGACCTACTATACCCAATGACAGGTGTTCAAACATATGTGCCGATGCGAGAACATGCACGTGTAGCACTGCGACGTGTGGATAGGGACGGCTGCATGCCTCGGTTCATCCAAGCAAGGGAGCATCCTGCGACTGTGCCCAAGGGACGAATTCCCAAGGCTTGGGGGCTGCTCAGAATTTGCTATTACCACTATTACTAGTATTATTACTGTTACTGCTTATTATTGCTATTACTACTACTATTACTACAATTATTTGGGAAGCTGCCAGTGAAGCAGCTTCCCGGCTCAGGAAATTTTGTTCCTGGTGGAGGAGCTCGTGAACGGGACCAGCTTGCAGGCGCACTTTAACAGTTGGGCAGGTCGAGGGTTCTTAAACAGTGCATGTCAACGCATTTTTCTGGCATTTACAGATGTAGGCTACAGGTATAGACTATGTATGTGTATGCTATGTACATGTGTAAACGTACAAGGGCGCCCATTCAGGCATGTCATAGTAGAGCATATAGAACGGCGTTGCAAGTCAAGCCACAGAATCCAGGTGATGGGGAGGAGGAATGCTCTGGATGCAGGGCTTTGACCACTAATTTGAGTGGTTCCTCCAGGTCGTCAGCTGGATTGTTCATTATCGTTCAAGGATCATCCAAATCCTTCTGATGATGTTGACTGCTGTGCCCTACTCCGAAAGATTCCCAGGCACTGCTGCCGGGGTCCTTGGAGCTAAACGCTTCAGAGAAGCATGGAGTCTTGCTGGGAGTTCTACGTGCCCCGGCGTCACCAGCCCTGCTGCCTCTTGAATTGACGTGCTGAGAGAAGCCCTGCAACTAGAGCGTCTGCAGACGCCGACTCATTTTTGGACCTGCAGGCAGCAGCTGCATTGGGCCTGCAACTAGACGAGGTCATAGCATGCCCAAAACCACGATGGAGCTATGAGACTTCTGAGCCCCTCACACCGAAACGAGTATCTGCCCTGCTTGCCATTTCAACATCGAAGATTTTTTTTTATTGCTGAGCTTTGAGGTGCACTGCGGTATCTGCACGGCCTTGTGCCCTCCGTGGCTCATGGCGACCTCAAGCCCAGCAACGTCCTGGTCCTGGACCGTGGCTCTTTCTGAATAACATTCAGACACAACAGTCTTCAACTTGGATGGGATTTGTGAGAGACTGAAGCTCACAACGCTTGCTCGAGAACCTGGACATGAGAATTGAAAAAATCAGTCGTTTCGGATGTCCTAGCCGCGGGCGTGATTAAGGTGCTAGAGCGCTAGTCCTTGAAGAGCGGCGCAGCACTTTGAAGAGAATCTCAGGCGACCGCTCTCCCAAGCTCATCGACTTTGGCTTGTCACGGATTCGTCATAGCCATTCGCGCCAGCTAGGAGGCTGGCGGCTCATGAGTTGTCTGGGGCTTGGGGTGCTTACCAGTAGGTAAAATGGTCTAGGTGTTGAGGAGCCTAAGATGCAAGAAACAAGGTGAAGGCAAGAGTTGTCTTGGGGAAGATGAGTAAGCGTTGTTGGTCCAATTTGCAGAGCTAGGGCAGCTAAGCGAGAAGGACTTCAAAAAAGACGACCAACATATGCAACCAATCTTTTAAGCGCATAGTGTCTGATACTTGCGCAGGAACTCCGCGGTACATGGCACCGGAGGTGCCTCGGACAACAGTTTTTGGCAGCATTCATCATGATGAGTTAGCGCTGTTTCAGACGCCTTGTTCTCGTGCTGAATTAATGACATCCTCACAGCACCCACCAACATGCTAGCAAACTACCTGAACATTCTGGCCATGGATCCAAAAGATGCAGAGGTGCAGCGTGCTTGGCAATAACACTCGCATTGTCGGCTAGAGATGTCATCTGGCAGATTCTTGTCACAGGTGCTGACCAAGACTGTGCAAATGGCAAAGGCTGACAAGGCGGACATGTTTTCTTTCGGAAGGGCAGCTCGGTTGAATTGGGACGTGGCTGCGGCACCATGACCAAGCTGTAGCTGCAAAACGGCTTGAGGTGATCTTCTTCGTGCTTGCAGCTGCAAACCCCTTGCAAGGGCTCAGCGTGCAGGACTTGGTTAGTGGAAAGGGCCCCGGATGACCTTCAGGGATCGGATGCACTCCCCTCAGACGCCATTTTTGGTAGTCTACAGCTAGCTTGATTTTGCCACTGAAGTCTCGGTGAGGATGTGGTATCTCAAGCTGAGAACAACCAGGCCAGAGTGGATGCTGCCACTCCAAGCATTCCCTTCCCAAACTCCACTCTTCCAATTCAGATTGAGGGTTCCTTTGGCTTATGGTTCAACATCCTGATCATGCCCTGAGTGGTTTGGGTATGTTGGGTAGCTCTATTCAGTCCAGACTGCGAGCTCTGCTCAGCTACTGGGACTCTGATCGTCATGGACTGAGCTGCACGTCATATATATATATATACATACTAGAGAACAAGCATGGGGCCGTTCGGCTACGCTTTCTGCACTTGCGTGCCCAGTGGCAATGGTAGAGAGTGCTTAGCATGCACTTGCCTGACTCAGAGCTCACCACTACTATTTGCAGCTGTTTCAAGTAGATCAAATAGGTGGAGGAGTTGGGCAACGTGAGGCTTTGTCTTCGTGTGTACATCTCTAGCAAGTCCAACAAGTGTCTGCAGCCCAAAGCGCATTTGTCCGCACAAGCAACATGGAAACCTGGGGATGCGAAGGTAACAGCGGGTGCGACCTTTTCCTTGCAAGCCGCAAAAATCTGGCTTCCATGTCTGGCATCTGGACAGCTACGTGGCAGGTACCTGCGCTGCAGTGGCCAGCAACTCCTCTTCCTTTCTTCGAACACGCCAAGAGGCTGACCGACTTGTGTACCTTGGACATATTGCGGGACCTCCCGTAGCCATGTCGATTTTGACGGCCGCACTTCCATCCATCATTCATCCATCCAAGCCTCTTATGCAGCCACACACGAAGTCCAGGTGTCAGCGGTTGGCTAGAAGGATGTATATAATCCTCGCTGATTTAAAATGTCAATGTGTGGAAATGTGTGCAGTAAATTGCGCGAACCGATTCTTAAAAGAAGGCAACGAAGGCTGTTTTCAGGTTTCCGAGGTGCCAGCCACCGAATTGATGCCCTAGTATAGCAGCACAGCAATGAAGGCTTTTGTGCCTAGAGCTCCGTCATGTGGGCACTTGAATCCTTGGGGCTCGAGGTTTGAAGCCCTCCCCAGATGAGCGACCGACCGCCGAAGTTGCGGCTCTTGGGCTGCAAGGGTTTCGGGCTTTTATCGTGATGAGGTCGGGGAGGGGGGGCGGGTCGAGTGAGCGTATGTCAGGCTGGAAGGCAAGCACATGCATGCAAGGGCTGCATCAAGCTAGGTGCGCATGCCGGCATGCCTCATTTTGAGGGGATTGCTTCGATAACAGAATTCATCAGCATGGGAAAAGCGAAGTCGCTGCACTGGAGCTTTGCGCAAGGAGTATTGGATGCGATCCTGGGTGCTTGAAGACCCAAAAGACGAGGAGCACATAATTCATTTCAAATTCTTCCCAATGCGTTTCATTCAGGCGCCAGCGCTTCAAATGTAAGGGCTAGGGGTGGTACATCGTTCTTGCTGCTTTTCTACTTGTCACTGACCTACGAAGCCAAAGCTTTTACACGTGGGTGAGTCAGTCGTAGTAGACTTGAGGCTATATGGCAAGTTGTTTCTAGAGGTTTTCTTTCTACCATTTTGGAGGGTATGGGGTGGCGGGCAGAAATTGTCACGATATGCTTCTCTAGTGCAACATTGCAACATGTGGAGGATGGGGCAAACATGCGAGACATCATCAGTCGAGATCGCATCGAGGCCCGTTTAGGGGCATTGCAGCGCCATTTGGTGCAGAAAACTGAGCAGTAAGCCATAACGTGTACTTGTAGTCTAAAATGGTTCTAATGGGAACCCCAAACAGGGAACCACAAGAATATAGTAGGAATATAATAGAACATATGGACCCTGGTAGGTATATTCCTATTACATTCTTACTGGGGTTCCCTGCTTGGGGTTCCCAGTAGAGCCCCTTTGTAGTCCACAATGCATCAGTGTGGACCTGGCAATCTCTATTCTTATTACCCATTACTGTTACCAGCATTGGTCTTACTATTGCTGTTGTTGTTTTTGTTTTTAATGGTGTCACTGTTATTCTCACGATTACTACTACCACCAGGTACCCGGAGGGAAAAATAACACAAGAAGCAGAAATAGAATGATGTGATACACTAGTATCATAAGTTTTCTTCGCAGCGCACTTGCCAATGATGAAATGACAGTATAACTGAAATAGAACCGATAATACCGTGATAGTGCTGACAGTATACTCAGAATAAATGAATCGTGATACTCCTACGTGAACAGACGCACAATAGTACGGCTTGATAATAGCGCTATGATGACTGCAACAGCCGCCTCTTGTTCGTTGCGAGGCAGCTGTAAGTGTTCTGGGGTCTGGGCGCTTGTGGTTGAACATGTTTTGCCATGTTAGTCTTTCAAAGTTTCCATGCAGGTCCAGGCTTGATTCTGGACCTGAAAAAGAGCTTGCGACAAAGTCTTGCATCGCCTTGTTTTTGGACACCCCGACGGTGTCCAAAAACGAGGCGATGCAAGATTTCACCGGCTTTCAAATTCACTGCGCCTGCCAGGACTTTCAGGGCCTCAAGCACGTGCGCGTCGCGTTTGTTTTTTTTCCCTGCCGGGTGCCTCCCCCTCCACTACTACTACGACGACGATGATTACAATTAGTATGACTACTCGCACTATGATTGCTACTACTATTTTTTTTTATTGTGTTTCTGTTTATTTTGTAGTATTATTAGTATTATTCTGATTGTCACTCCTTTTTATTTTTTTATATTGATATTCATAGCCTTGCTGATATTTAACTCAAAAGCGTGGCGGCGGTTGCAAGGTGGATCCGGAGACGCGCTTGGTGACCCAGTGTGCAGCAGCCGCAAAGCTCTACCTTGCGCAGAAGAACCAGATCTAACCAAGACGCCGGCACTGATACTGACCAGATGCAACCACAAGCGTGGTTCGTTTGAATCAAGCTTCTGCTGACGAGCGAGTGGCACAAAGCTGCCAAGAGAATTTTGTTGCTACTTTGGAGTGAAAGCACGCATTAGCAAGCATATGTAACTCTATCAAATACAGAGGTGCTCGCCAGCTGTTTGATCGGCGCGCAGGGAAGCCCCCTGTGGCGCCGCTCTCCTCGAACTACGTCGACAGCCATTGGGCAATCAGCTGGTTTGAAATTCAACTTGCTGGCCAAGCTGCAAACCGTAGAGTTGGTGACGGGTCCAATCTATGCTATGCCTATGTGCCCTATTTCGGTCCTCAGCGGTCATTGCTTCACCATTGCACAATGGCCCAAGTGCGACGGCGTGGGAGATGCAGTGCAGGATGCACTCATGTGCATATCCTCGGGTGGCGCATCGTTGGGAGCCTTCCAGTTTGAGGTCTCTCAGTTTTGCGCCCCACGCTTCGGTCAATTCTGCATAGATCTTCATGAACTGCATGGAGGCAAGGTGGAACTCGTTGCTTCTGCACTGAAGGAGTTTCAAAAAAAGGCTAGTGAGTGCTGAAGCTAATTTTATTACGGAGGTGGGCTAGGACGTGAATTTCTGGCATTTGAGTTCCACGTTTTCGCATGCACAGAGAGTATGTCTCCATTACCATGCAGCAGCCCAAGAAAGGCGCCAGGTAGTGCAAGCTGTCAGGCCTCGTAGTTGGACTGTGCGATTTGCATCTGTCAACACCAAGCAAGTTTCCGTGTACCAATCGGCAGCTTGACAGCGGTCTGTGTATCAGCGTAGAATGAGATTACGGCTCCGGGTTGTCACTCCCGCAGCCTTTGGCATCCTTTGGGCAGGCCGCGTGAGTTCAGCAAAGACTAGAGTTCAAGTCCTCAGTGCTTTTAAAAGGGGTTGGATGGAGCAGCGGCTGCCTGCCAGGACCTGAAAGGTACCAGGTACATTTTCAAATCATTTTCTTCTCACGAGATATTTTCAAGCTGCACTTTATTGCCTGAAGGTGCAGGTAGATGATGCTGGGTTATGTAATCCATGTGTCCTCAGAGCATCGTGCCATTTTTCCTGGAGACTCGGAGTCTCCCTGCATCAATCCTCAGTCAAAGTCTCTTGCTAGCAGACTGCACTGGCGAAATACGTGGCCTACCAGCTGGCTGGCAGCAGCTGAGCCAGAGTGCCAAAGCTTTAGGGAATAGGCGCGCCCACAAACTTGGATCTGGACAGCCTTCTAGAAACATGCTGGCTGCGCTTGCATTGCATGTGGCCTGACACAACTGGATGTCCCAAGCCGTAGATGGGTTCTGCACATGGCGGCTTGAAAGCTGTTTCGCACTGTTGTGCGAGTGCCAAGTTTGTTGATAGCCATCCCTGCCAAATTTGGCCAAGTTGATAACGATGTTCTTCTCCATGGAGTCCTTCAGAATGCCCCGACCCAAGTGCTTGGGAGATCTTGTGAGATGGTTGCGTCCCACATTGGCCTTGGCTTCAACTTGATTCTTCAGGTTGCTCTTGGGGGTTGCAAGAAGCAGGGCGAGGTTGTACAGAGTTCAGTAAACTGTGGAGCATTCGACGCGGAAGGAGTGACAAGTGGCGCGTGTTCCGGCCTGGGCTGGGATTGGCAGTACACCCCACTCTCACATGTACACGCAGCTTGTATCATACTTTAACATGTCTCGTGTAGCTTGTATGCAGCCGTGCTTATGTGTGTGTGTGTGTGTGTGTGTCTGTGTGTGTGTGGGTTTGTGTGGCCCAAATTTGCATTGGCCTGCTTTGACTATCATAGCTGTGCATCCTTTGCATCATGACTGCTGCGTCTCAGGGGTCTGGATAAGACTTATGTGCTGCGATTGCCCCACTCATTGGGCCTGCCCCTCTGCAGTGGTGGGCCTTGACGACCCATCTGGACAATTCTGTGTTTTCCGGTTGCCCAATGCAGTCATATTATGGAGAGATGCGCTTTGATGTGACACGCTGAAGATCTTCCAAGCGGTTGTAGGCGCATTCCATCACAGAGTTGGTTGCAGCTGTTGTATCTGTTTTATGGCTGGAGGAAACCCCGCCTTTGCATTGTCAAGCCAGGCTGATACCAGCAGTGCTGTACTCCTTGCAGAATAGCCTTCAGTACGTCGCGGCAACGAACCTCGACATTTCAGCAGCTTGGTTGGCATCTTGTGTGAACAAGAGTCTTCAAGCTGTGTTTGGTCACTGCAGACCAAAGCCAAACTTTTTGCCAAACAACAAGGCTTGCTGCCCAATTTGGGTGAGGGATCGCAGCCTGAAAGCGTTGACTTGAGGAGGATAGATTTGAGACTGCCAGGTATGCCAAGTCCTGTACCAGCTCCTTGGACTGCACAGTGTCCAATATAAATGGTTTCTCTGGGCGCCAAGGAGGATAGTTGTACTGGCTGAGTACCTCCTTTGGCCGAGTTACCCTCACAGGGAGCGGGAGCCAACAGCGTTCATTTCTGCAAGCGTACATAACGGTGGCTCGTTTGGGCAAGATCGTAGATTGACTTTTTTGGAATTCGTGTTCAGGGTGGCAGGGTAAAAAGGAATTTTAAACTACTTCATCTTCACAAGAAACCACCGCCTTGCTTTCATTCTACGGCTTCTTGTAAGGAAGAAGAGGATTCCTCTTTGCGCATGGATAACTTCTCTTGCTACTTCTTCAGAACTTGCCCCGCGACGCAGCAGGGATCCATGTGGCATCATCCCAAAAACTCCCACGGAAGCGGGTTAGTTTTCCCAGAAGTTTATCTAGGAAATGCTAATTAATCCTCAACATCAGTGTACCTCCTATAGCCCAAAAGTGGCATAGTATGGCACAGTGCCGAGAGGGACCCCTTCTGTATTTCAAGCCGTCATTCTGGGAAGGATGAAGCTGGTCACGACAGCCCTCTTCAGCGCCTTGGTACGCAACAATAGCAAAGCTGCAACCGTCTCAGAGCAGTTGCCCCATAAAGTCATTTGCATGGGGATGCTAGTGGAATAATACAATTATCTAGGGAGATATCAGGGCTAGAGGGTCCGTAGGCCAGTATGCCTGACCCACGGGTTTGTGCAAATATTCGCACGCTGGCCGCTGGCATGATGGCATACAGTGCAACATCGAGCCAAGTAATGTCATGGGCACTATTCGGTACCACAGTGCGAAAGGAGCGCCCTCAATTCGTAGCCTTAGACAAATGGTAGCAGTGAGCTGACTCGTGCTCACAAACAGCGAGGATTGTTTTTTCTACACGCTTAGTCGCCCTTGTGCACCTTTTTCTCGCTTTCTTTACTATCACTTGCCGTGTCGTGGGCACCCTGATCGAAGGTGTCGCGATGCTAAACCGGCAGCTGACCCCTCCACAGTGGTGGGGCATTTTTCTTTGCGCGCTGGGGGCACTTTGGCTGCCATTCTGTTTGGTTTTGTAGTTTCGTGAGAAGCAAGTATCGGCCGCAAGGCATGCAACTTGCGAAAGCCAGCAGCTGCAACAAACCCAGCGTTCAGTGCTCGCCCGAGGTTAAATTTAGTGGTCCATGCCTCGAAAATGCCATAGGTACTGTCGCGCCTTGTGCGCCTGCAGGGAAAATACAGTATATGCACGCATAGTCTTCACACGGAAAAATCTAGAGCATCGGTGAAGGGGTGGCGAGTTCCTGAATTTGCATCCACGCAGTTGTATCAAGCCTTTACAGAACCCCCAAAAATTTTGAGCCGAGGTGGCTGCTGTCCAGCTATCAACAGCCGAGGACAGTCAGAAGCAGTCCAGCCAGCAGCAGGCCAATATGAGGGCAACTTGTTTTCAGTTCATGCCGTAACAATATGGGCCGGCATTTCCTTACATGGTCAATGACGAGATCGTAGAGGCCGAACAGCTAAAACACACGCTTTCCGAAAGCCGCATAACTGAAGCCTGAAGCTTGAAGCTTATAGCATTAGGAAACGTGCCTTCGTCAGGCAGGAGGGTAGGGCCGGGGAGGTTGCAAAGGGCATTTCAAGATTGCCCACAGAACAGCCAGTACTATGGTCGCTTTGCTGTATGACTTGCAGTTGTTTTTTGATGTTCATGATCTTTCTGGCGTCTTCTTCTTTGCCGTTGCTTTTGTATTCTACATTCAAAGTTGATTCGTCAGTCCGTGATACGTGTCCTTTCTGGTGATCGATGACCTTCTTGTTGTTGCTCGATACCACGACGCACTACCTCGCATTACATGCTGTATGTCTGTATCTAGCAATGAGATCAGGGCGGTTCTCACAATGTTATAGAGGCCTGGGTCGGCTTCCTGGCCGTCTCCGTGGCTTGCATAACCAGCGGCCACTGCCTCAGTAGGGGATTCTGTTATGCTCGCGAGCGCCTTAGCTTTCAATTACAGGCGCTTCAGCTTCTCCAAGATTTTATGGATGACGCAGGGTAGAGACCTCCTCGGACGAACATCTGGACCTGTGACCTGAAGACCAAAGATCATGTTCCAAGTTTACGCTGGTCTGCTGCAAGGCTTGGCCGCCGTTTACACCGAGAAAGTCTTCAAGCCTCTCAGATGCGAAAATGCATTTTGATGGTGGCCTCAGATGGTTTGTTCTATCTTCTATCTCAAGGTGAGGCTATATTGTAGCTACTAGTTAATTACACCTGACGTGTCGCCAAATATTACTGTTATCCGAGGCAGCACCATTACATAGGAACATCCCAGGCAAGGATAAGCTCGACATGATGTTCAAAGGCCAGAAGGCTTTAAAGCTTTCGCGTTGATTCCCATCAGTCTTCATGTCGAATTATTATGCCGCCACATCCACCCCCACTCCCTTGCCTGCACACACCATGCCAGCGGTCGGCTGGGCCAAAGCAGACTGTGGCTTGTTTAGCTTGCACTGTGCCTGCACAAGGAGTGGAAACTCCAGTGCCTTGGCAAAACTTGAGAAGCTGAAGCCACGCCTCAGCAATCAACAATTTGTCAGCCCCATAGTTGCCATAGTTCTGCCGGAGTTCGAAGAAGGGCTAGCCACGGTGAATTCAGGAATGCCAGCTGCGACCCTTGTGCAACAGCTTAATATTATTGATATGTGATTCTGACAGCTTCTGAACAGGCCTGTGGGTGCGCAATATGCACCTGGCTTGCTGGTCCTTGATCGCAGTCGCCTGGGGCCTTTTGGTCAAGGACGGCTCAAAGATTCGAGCCTTGGATCGAAGTGCGGGGAGTCACTCGCGTTGCTTACTTTAGGACCTGTAGGCTTTCTTGTGCCTGGCTTTCAGGGAGTTAAGTGTCCATCAGTTCGGACACTGGACTTGGGTCTTCAACAGAATGCGGCTTCAAAAGACGTGATAGTTCAATGATAAGCGCGCTACATTGTGCACTTCGTTTGCGGCGTGATGTTCTGAACGGCTTGAAGGCTGTGGGGCACAGTCCCGACATTCCATGCTGCATTCGTCGGGGCATCACGCTGTTCAAGCAGATTTGATTCTGCAGTGCGGCTTTCATAGGATACATCAGGATTTTCCTGGGGCTGCAAACCATCACCTTCAGGTAGCAATACAAAGGCCCAGCTGCGATTAAGTCCTGTGACTTAGTAGCGCAATGGGTGGAGCCACGAGATTGAGATGTCCTGCTTAGGAGTCGAAGCCTTCCAAGCTGTTTCATATCCTGTCGTGTGGCACGTTTCTGGAGGGCGTCCACACTGCATTGCTTAAATTTATCCATCTTTTCAGTTTATTTGCTAGGAGTACTGCGCTAAGTCGTTCCACCAGCAAGTCACATGCCATGCGCCATTTTCGTTTTTAGCCAAACCTGCCTCGGACAGCGCGTGTACTTGGCGTTTCATACTTCCTGGTTACCATATCCTTTCTCTTCTTGTTTGAGCTGCCAGGTCTTATGGCTTGCAAAGTAGGCAAAATCGTCTCGGTCGCCTAGTTTGGTCAGAAGCTGGCCATGTACCCATGAACCTCCTTTGGCAGAGAGCGTAGGAGTTCCAGCATTCCTGGAGACTTGTGTGGCAAGATCCCGTCGTGAATGCATCAATTTCTGACAGATTTGGATGCGTACAATGATTTGAGAGCTGTGCCTGCCTGTCGTGCACAGTTTCTTAGCTTTCGCAGCATTGGAGCGCATGACGTGATAAGGGCGTCTACATGGGGATTAGGGCCTACAGATTTGGATGCGTAACCTGTTTTAGGAGCTGCGGCCTACGTGTCGCGCACAATTTGTCAATTTTGGCAACTTTGTAGCGCAAGACGTGATAAGGGCGTCTACATGGGGATCGAAGCCCGTGGGGCGCCTTCTGCCGACGTGGGGTGCCTTTTGCCTACGGGGGCGTCTAATGGCAGTGGGGTGTCTTTTGCTCGTGTGGGGCGCCTTAGGTCGCTCAATTGTAGAACCGATCCATATGTATTGTCCCTTTCCGAGACAGGACCGTGCCAGCAGCCACGCATGCTTCATAGATTTCAGCATCAGACCCTCAGCTCTCCAAGCCAAGGCGAGAAGGGCTTTTTCCTGGGTTGGAACTTCCTCGTGTGCATCTTGGCCGTGTTGAGCCAGCTGGGTACCATGCAGCACAGGTTTCCTCCGCAAGTGCATGTTGCACTATGATGCTTGCCGGCTTGGCATTTCGGACCAGAACTGAGGCATAGTCGTTGGCCTACAAGCTCTGGGCGGCATGGCCGTAGCTGTGGTGGCGAAGTATGCTGACAATATCTCGACACCTGACCTGCACGGGCCTGGATGGTGCCAAAGACCCCGCATCACAAGGTCACACATATCAAGATGCTGCGTAGTCAAGGGCTCGGGCAGGAGAACCGGCTTGAGAGACCCTCGTTGTTGGCCTTGGCAAATTATATATAAGCTTTGAAAGATTCGTGCAGCACAGGTTTATGGAGTTGCTTCTGTCATTAGCAAACACACCAAGTAATAGCGAAGAGCCTAGCGAAGAACTCCAAACCTGTGTAGCAATGAGGAAGGGATTCGCAACAGCTCCTTGATGGCACAAAGCTGACTTTGCTCAGTCTTTCAACTTGAGCTGCCGAAGCTGAAAGAGAAGTTGCTGCTTTCTCATGATGAGAAGTCTTCCTGTTTAGGGTATACACTTTTTTTTTTTTTTTATTTTTTAAGGGCCAATCCAGGAGGTACAGTTCGCGTTGGCACGGCAGCATGCTACATCTAGCTTGTCTTTGACGCAGTTGCCATCAGTCCGGCTGCAGTGGTAGCATCTTTTGCAATTTCAAACGTATGTGAGGCAATCTCGATCATATTGACCTGCGTGGCATCTGTGTATTTGTTCGAGCTTCAGCCGTCCGTGACATTCATGGCTGGCACGATGCTGGTGCTCCTGTCTTTGCGACTTGGTCGCACTCTGGAAAATCAATCGTCCTACATGCACCTGATTGGCATTTGTCATTCATCCAATTAGCTTCTCAAAATGTGACTAAGGTTTCTGTACACCAGTCCAGGCCTCAGACGGGTGGATGGGGTAGATGTCAAAGGAAGGTCTCTTGACAGCAGGTGCCGCGGGAGTGCAGCTTGTCAGAGTCACATTGGGCATGGGTACTATAGCAATGAGTGTTGGCTACACGATTGTCTTTGTATCCGGTGTTCTTTGCGCCCTTATTAGTCATGGTCATGGGCTTGCCATGTTGAGGGGCACCGTCATTGTCACAATTCCAGTCTGCACTCGCCAAGGACCTGCCAAGAGCAGCCAGACGATCAAGTACCTGGAAGTGCCGCAAAAGGTACCCGGGCTCCCTTGGTAGTCTTGGGTGGCACTTGCAAACTAACCATCATACTAGATCTATTGTTGTTTGTCCTTTCATTGTGGCCTGTCAGTTTTAGTGCCTGAGGGCGTGACATGTACAGATGTGATCTCCGGTTCCAGGGCTCCGCATGCTCCACGCGGAGATGCTTGTAAGCCTCTAGCAAAAAGGTCATGTCTTCTGGAATGAAGTGGATGCTGATGGAATGAATTCTGGGCGATGAAGGGGCGGAGCGGCACTTAGGGTAATTTGTTCTCTAGCATGGTTTTGACAGTACAGTAGTGCCAACAAAACTGTCTGCCTGTTCAAGCTTGTGTACCATTGATGCAATTTGAGCTTCTGTCTTCAGCCCTGGCTAAACAGAAGAAAGAATCGGTTTGAAGCCGCAATGGTGTTGCTTGTTGCTTGCAGGACCTTGAGGACGAGTACGACTATGACTTATCTGCCAAAGCCGAGCAGAATGGGACTTTCAGAATAGGCCTTCGTGCCAGCATTTTGGCAGGTTGAATTAGAAGGTCTGTCAAAGTTGAATGCTTGGGAGCACCAGCTTTGAGTTAAGACGATCCCTGTGTTGTTTGTGAATGAGTTCGCCACAACACAGAGCTATGCTCATGCATCACGATCAGGATGTCCTTTCCTTCATTATCAGGGCCTTTCATGTCAACGGTTTGAATTGCTTAGAGCTGCGGCATATTGACCCTCCCCTGACAGGAAAGCCAGAAAGCAGATGAGAAAACACTCATCCCTTCAAAAGACATTGCGCGTGATCAGAGCGCGCAAAATGTGGCTTCTTGTTGACGTGGCTTGAAGTCAAGTTTGTCAGGGTGAGATCAATCTTGAATACAACAAATAGCCTTTGGACTTGTGTTCAGCCTGCGATGTTCATGAAGTTCAGGCCAGGGCCACTGGCGCTACTTCCGCAGTTGTGTTGTAGGTAGTGCAAGACGTTGCAAGACCGCAATTCCCAGCAGCAAGCACTGGCAGGGCCCAATGAGGTTGTCGAAGCATCATTTAAGAGGGCAGGCTGCGCGCATCTATCCCACTGGATGCGTTAACTGTTTGAAGACTCGCGTTCCAAATCGACCTCTGTTTGCAGTTGGGTCAAGGCTACGGCAACTGATGATATGTGGCAAACGCATGAAGTAGGCCTCAATTTGAATGGTATGCTTAGCCAGGTGAATGGAGCTCCTCATGAAACGTCTTTGCTGCAAACAGTGCAGAAGCTTATCATTGCGGATTTGCTGGTCCATGCATGGGCAAATAACAAACATCGCACCCGAGCCAAGATATATATATATGTATCAGCAAGGCGTACTTACCGTAACTAGATGCGCTCTCAACGACCGCCGCCGTACCAGGCAGCCGACGGAGAGGGGGGGATTTAGGTGCATGTTCGGCAGGACACAACCTGCTTGATTACTGGTAACATCCCTGCGCCGCAATTTTGATGATGTGTGTAGAGCCGGCCGGTCAACCCAAAGAGTCAACGACTGCAGCATTCCCTACTTGAAGCAAGCATGAAGCTCAACCAAGTGCAGGCGTTTGTTCCATTTAGCTTAAGCTACGTCAATCGTTTTCGAGCTACAGTGCTATCAGCATTGACTGGAAAGCGATTTTGCATATTCCTTACTGAGTTATTCAGTTGCACCGCATGGCGCTGGCAGACATGCAGAGAAGTCACATGGAACCACAATGCTTGTCAGGCACCGCCGGCCCCGGCAGCCAACGCAAGGAGCTGCACTGCCTCAGGGTTTCCTGAGATATCTTCATTTTTGGTTCTTGTGGACATGGTCTCGCTGTTTTGCGTGTTTGCGGCGAAGGTATTAACATGCATGTGTCCAAGCGGCAGGAATTATGCTGCTACTGAGGGTTGCTGCAAACTGCAGCGGGATCCTGATGCAACTGGCCTAAGAATGCAAATTCTGGACAAAGTCAAGTTGAGCTGCGCACGATGTGGCAATTTTTGTTGCAAGCATCCTGCTAGTGAAAGCTATCATAGCTCTCCCGAATGCGCTGTACCATGCAGGTAGGACCCGCTAGCAAGATGTGCATTCCTGATCCAGGGATGGTTATGCAGATCGGACCATGCTGCCCGGCGCGGGCGCACCCTCTGGGGCACACGGCGAGGACCAGCATCGCTGCAAGAGAATGCAAGACAGTCCTTTCAGCTCCCGCATTAGCGTCCTAATCTCTGAAAGCTTGAAACCGTGCTTGGAACACGTCACGGGTGCATAAGCTCTGGGCTGTGTAGGGTGCATCAACAGCTGCACACGCTGCATGGAAAGGACTGTTCCTGTCCTGCCTGCGATACACATCGCACGTTCCACGCCTTGCTACGAGGGCCTGTGGCTGAGAGGAGGGAGGACGGTGGAAAAGATACCTACATCTTGTTTAGCTAGAGGAGGCGTAGCAGCAGCAACAAGAACAACAACATCAACAAACCGAGAGGAGCATTTGCTTGGGCGGCTTTCCTGTCGAGATTTGCTGCTGGGAGTCCAGCTTCTGCAGGTCGGATCCTCCGAAACGCGCAGGATCCGGAAGGCGCGTGAAACCTGCTGTCACCGCAAATGATTGCATTCAATCTTAAGACAAGACGAGCAGATATATGAGGTCATGGAGATCATGGCGCATGTAGATCTACATGTGCCTTAGATATCACGATAGGAAGTGTGTGTTGATCTGCCAGCGCGCATTTGTGCAGATATCCATGGCCAAAATAATGCGGAGACTGCTTGAGTGAAAAGGATTTTGTTCAACCTCTTTGTGCGACAGCTTGTTACAACTGTCAGTTGTCCTCCAGCTCCTCGTTTGAGTGCTTGCGTTGTTTCTCATTCCTTGCTTTCTTGTTGGTACATACCTTCCCCAAAAGCTAGATAAGCATTACATGCCTGGATGTCCATTGCAGATTCGAAGCCTTTGGCGGATGGGGTGCTAAAGCTCAGGAAAACAGTTCCAACAGTACCAGCATCACGCAGCATTGTGGTTCTTGCTTCCCAAGATGCGTGATCTAAATGGGGATACCTGGAAATGCAGAGAAGATGCAAGATGCTTTGCTCACAGGATGCGCCGCGTTCCAGCTGAAAACTGTAGCTTACCTGAATCTAAAATTGGCGAAAGACCAGTCATAGGTGCATGAGTGTCAGTAGGCTATGTGTGCCCCAACGAGGATGGAAGCCTATCGACACAACAGTGGCAATAATAACAACAGCAATAATCGTAATAGCAATAGTAGCAATAATAAGAAACAAAGAAGTAATAATAACACTAAAAACAAGAATTTTAGTATTGATTTCAGTAATAACTGTAGTAATAATACTAACAATAATGATAATGCATGTGGACTCGAAAAGTAGGGGCCCCTTTCTCACTTTGCCAGGCCTGTCCGGAGGCGCCCTGCTCCAGAATGGGATGGAAGCGAGGCCTGGGGCTTGGAACACTTGCATCTCAGACTATTTCATAGTAATATAGTATTTTATAGCAGTTCATAGTACTTTATATTATTTTATAGTACTTTATAATACATTGTAGTATAGTGGGAGTATTTAATATCAGGGGGGTGGGGGGAGAGACTTAGGCAAAAGGAGGAAGAGACTATGTAGATCTGAGTGCAGCAATCTGATTGGGAGATGGGAATGCGACCGAAATATGGTGAAGCCTATACAGCAGACCCGCGGAAGATGGACCCAGAAGCATGATGTTACAGAAAGTTGCCGCCAAAATGATATCAATGATAGCCGTGGGAAAATGCTCTGCTTGTGAAGCCGCTCGCATCAAAGACTTGAGATTTCTTGTAGGAAAGTTTGTCCTGGGTCTACCAGTGTCGCTATGACCAAAGCTGAGCAGAAGAAGGCCGTGCAGTACACCCGCATGTGCAAGTTTTGGCGGACCAACGAGTGCAAGATGGGGGCGGACTGCACCTTCGCCCATGGCTCATCAGAGTTGCGGCCCAGCCCCAAGCCTTGCTTCGAGTTCTCGAAGACAGGTTTTTGCACGCGTGGCCAGGCTTGCAGATTCATCCACGATACCGTGAAGTCTCCCTGCTCAGGATCTGAGGATTCCTTAGTTTGCCGTGGTCCTGTCAAGGTCGGACTGCAGACTGTGGCAGCAGGCTTGGAGCACCCGGAGGGCCTTGCTTTGCCCTTCCGGCCACCTCCGGGGCTCAGCCCACCAAGCCTGAGAGCAGAGGATCTCCAGAGCCTTTCAGACGTGAAGCAAGAATTGCCGATTTCTCGGCGCTCCAGCCTGAATGATATCCCTCTTCCATTGAAGCTTTGCACAAAAGCGGACACGGAGGATCTTTCGCCAGATGATGCAACGATCGGCACACGGAGCACAGCTTCCACGTTCTGCCTGAGCATGAATACATCTTTTTGGCTGTGAGATGCGTGAGTTTGGCTTGTTTTCCTGTGGCCATAGCGCGTGAGGTGGATGGTGCTGCAGGGATGCTCTGCACACATTTTGACGTCCTATGGCCGGTAATGCCGTTTTTTTTTTTGGCGTGCTGCAGCACCACCTCCATGTTCCGACTGTACTTAAACCCTGTCGGACTCACTTGCATTTCTAAACCAGGGTCTGTGGGAAGGTGGCGCACAACTCTGGAGACGTCAGAAGTCCTTAAATCCTGACATTGGGACAGCAGCTCTGACCCTGGTTTAGAGTAAGTCCTCACCGAGCAGACGCAAATATAGACGTCGAAACCATGCTCGTTGGTGACACCGGGCCTTGTCTTTTTGTGTTTGATGACATCCCGCTGCGAAAACCGCCTTGCCACTAGAAGCAATGGTGTTGTAGCGGGTAACTTGCAGAACAGGTCTCAATTTTCAGTTCATCCTGCTTGCGCTAGTTCCAAGAGAAACTTACGGAGTGCGTGCCTGTCAGGGCAGGTGTACAAAGCGAATTTGCTTCGTTGCAGAGGCGCCTTGAAAAGGATCCCTCTGGCAGCAGCACTTCCCAAGCATTCGATGAGCTTGTTTTTGTTTGTCGTGGTGAGGCTGTTGGGTTTGCGGCATGCATAGCCATGAACCGTGAAAAAAACCAAGCCTTGGCACTTGCTGTGGTGAAGAACTCTGATCAGTGCAGCCCCACATGAGGTGGAGCCACTGCGTTCGGCTTTGTAAGAAGTCGTCCAAACGCAAGCAATCTGGCTTGGAATAAAACATCGCAGCCAGATGCTTTGACACGATAGCATGCGCCAAGAGCTCGTCAACACGTACTCAGATCAATGTTTCTGTTTCTACAGCATACTTGGCAACATTGCTTAGTGATAGCGGGGTCATCCTCACATTGCATATGCAGGACTCAAAAGGGACAGTATCGCCAACGGATTACCCTCAAGACCTCTCCTTTGCACATCCCAGTGGATCACAGTGAACTATACTTCTCAAGCCATATGCGCTCAGAAAGCTGCGGCTCGACACTTGTCCCCTGCCGCCCTTGCGCAGCGACCACCGAAGTAATGACCAAGGCTGAGCAGAAGAAGGCCGTGCAGTTTACCCGCATGTGCAAGTTTTGGCGGACCAACGAGTGCAAGATGGGGGCGGACTGCACCTTCGCCCACGCCACGTCAGAGTTGCGAGCTAGCCCAAAGCCTTGCTTCGAGTTCTCCAAGACAGGTTCCTGCACGCGTGGCCAGGCTTGCAGGTTCGTGCATTCCCTGGACAGCCTGAAGGGTGGTAAAACCAAGGATTTGCAGGAAGCTATCTTAGCC